AACTTGGAGAATAAAGGTGGATGTTCCTACTCTAGATCATTTGCTCCTTTAATTAATTAATTAATTAATTTTTTTGAGACAGGGTCTCACTCTGTCACCCAGGCTAGGAGTGCAGTGTGCATATGGCTCACTGTAACCTCGACTCTCCCTGGGCTCAAGTGATCCTTCTGTATCAGCTTCTTGAGAGCTGGCATTACAGGCACACAACACCACATTTGGCTAATTTTTGTACATTTTTTTGTAGAGATGGATTGTACCAGGTGCCTAGCCTTGTCTTGAACTCCTAGGCTCAACGCCAAGTGATCCACCTGCCTCAGCTTCCCAAAGTGCTGGGATTACAGGTGTGAGCCACTGATTTGCTCCTTTTAAAAATCAGTTTTATTGAGGTAAATTTAAGTATACAAAATATCACCAATTTCTAACTGTGCAGGTAAAGATGGTTTGACAAATATATAGAATTGTGGGAAAGATCATGAAGGCAATACGATAGAAGAACATTTGTATCAAACCTAAAACGTGTCCTTGTGCTCTTTGCTCCCTGGTACCCCTCTCCTACTTCCAAATCTTGGCAACACAGATCTACTCTTCTGTCCCTTTAGTGTTTACTTTTCTTGAATGGCCTGTGAATGACATCATAATATATGTCTTTGGTGTCTGGCTTTTTAAACTACGTGTACTTTTCTTGAGGTTCAACCAAGTGCTGTATGTAGCATTGTTCCTTTTATTTCTATTTTTCCTAGCCGTGGTAAGACTATACCACAGTTTATCCGTTAAACAGTTGATGGACATTGGTTGTTTCTGGTTTTGGAGGATTGTGAATAAATATTTCAGCTCCATAACTAACAAGAAATTCTTTTTTACTCAGTGTTTTGAGTGGGAATTAAAGCAAACCAATTGGAGAGACTGGCTTGACTCTCCTTCACCAGGCTCACCCCCAGCTGGATTTGACTTCTCATTTTGTTATGCTTTGCAATTTTTCCCCTTGTACCTTTCTTAATGTACATTTTACCATCTACTTTCTCTTGGCTACGCTTTGAACTCCCCTACTAGGGGCAAGGAGCATGTCTTCTTTATTTGACCCGGTGCTCAGCAGAGTGCCTTCACATAAGAGAGTTATGATACATCTTTAATGCATTGATTTACATCTTTCTCTTAGCCGTTTCCTGAATGTGTAAGTGCTTTTGACAATTGAATCCATTATTGTATTACCTCTCGAGCAGGTGGCCAATCTTGGCTTTCCTGGGCCACACTGGAAGAGGAAGAATTGTGGGCCACACATAAAAGACATTAACACTAATGGCAGCTGATGCGGCTAAAAGGAAAAAAACTAAAAAGGTCTGCATAAATTCCATAATGTTTTAAGGAAGTTTATGAATTTGTAAAGTTGGGCCGCATTCAAAACCATCGAGGCCGGCAAGCTGAGTAAGCTATCCAGCTGGCGGCCCAGGACAGCTTTGCATGAAGCCCTACACAAACTGTAAACTTTCTTAAAACATTGCGAGATTTTGTGTGTGTGTGATGCTCTTTTCTTTTCTTTTCTTTTCTTTTCTTTCTTTCTTTTCTTTTCTTTCTTTCTTTTCTTTTCTTTCTTTCAGCCCACTGTACAATCATTACTGTTAGTTCAGGTATTTAATGTGTCTTGAGACAGTTATCCAGTGTAATCTGGTAATTAATCACAACCTGTCCGCCACACACTGTAAAAATAGGCTTTTGTGATAAAAATATTTGACTACGAGCGAATTATTTTATTGTGTGGCTCGAGGTAGATGGCTAATTTAGATTTTGGGATGAGCTTGACTGGGGTGGAGGGCGATGAAATATATTGAGGAGTTCTTTTCTTTTCTTTTCTTTTCTTTTCTTTTCTTTTCTTTTCTTTTCAGCTCATCAGCAATCATTACTGTTAGTTTCAGTGTATTTAATGTGTGGCCCGAGACAGTTATCCCAGTGTGACCCAGGGAAGCCAAAAGATTGCACACCCGAGCTCCAGAGTATTATAAAATAGGTTTCCCTAGATAAAAATATTTTAATCCTACCTCTGCCTGTAAATCATTCACTGTGCAACCTATAAGCAGACTTCAAATTCTTTGTGACCCTTGGGGATTTTTTAGTAGGTCTTTTTTTTTTTTTCCCAACTGTAAAGTGAGAGGGTTTGATGAAACACATTTGAGGTTCCCTTTTAGTTCTAACATTCTGGGAATTTATAAAAAGCCTACCAAGTCAGAAAGAACCTGCAAGAGGGGAGAGAAGGCAACATAGGAAAGTGGAAGGGAAAGGAGGTTGGAAAGCAAGACTGTATCATGTTTCTAGGCAATGAAACATAATGTATAGTGTCCCAAATAGAGGGAAAGTTGGGGAAGGATTCAAGAAACATCAGTTGATGTGTATGTAACTCAACATTTGTTTGTAGAAGTCTGTTAACTTGTTTTATTTTATAAAAAGGACTGCAATTATGACAGTTCTTTTCTATAGTCAATTTATTTTTTATTTTTATTTATTTATTTTGAGACAGAATCTCACTCTATCACCCAGGCTGGAGTATAGTGGCACAATCTCTGCTCCCTGCATCCTCCACCTCTCAGGTTCAAGTGATTCTACAGCCTCAGCCTCCCAAGTAGCTGGGTTTACAGGCATGCACCACCACTCCCAGCGAATTTTTGTATTTTTAGTAGAGATAGGGTTTTGCCTTGTTGGCCAGGTTGATCTCTAACTCCTGGCCTTAAGTGATCCACCCGCCTCGGCCTCCCAAAATGCTGAGATCACAGATGTGAGCCACCGCGCCTGGCCTATAGTCAATTTAGAATATCGGTAATTAGGCAGCCTATTCTGAAAACTGATGGTGAGATTGACAACCCCTTTACACTGGGGAACTGTAAGTACCAGTTTGTGATGGGTAGTTTCAGTTATGACTCTTATCCTCATATAATTATTAGTAGTGCCCCTCTCACTCCCAGATGGGTATTGGCATTGGAGAATGCATTTATGTCACCCAATTGTTAGGGGTTGCAGAGCCCCAGGTTTCTATCTCTGTCTCCTGCCCCAGCGGGGGGTCTGACCTGGGGATGGATAGAGTCCACAGGGCTTTTTTTAAGCTGATTACTTTAGCAGCATGGTCTCCAACTGGCAGAGCCATTAGAACCATTCTCTTCCAAGCACCTTTTTCTAACATGTCTGAAAAGTTTTTGCCTCCTCGTGTAAGACTTAAGCAGATTCTCCAGCTACACATAAAGATAGCAGCCTTCCTTTCCCCTATGACAAGAGTATAACAACATCCAATCCTGAAATATTCACTGCCCACTTTCTGTGTGCCAAGCACTGAGCTGGGCCGAGGGTATAGAGACAAAGATGACAAAGGAAGCAGGCATGTAAAACAATAACTAAAGTGTGATACATACTATCTTTGTACATTGTACACAACATATATTGAGGTCATTGCGGGAAGAATAGTTAATTCAGGAGGGAGGAAGGAGAGGGGAAGAATTGTGAGCTAGGCCTGAAGGGGGTAGTGGTATGTATACATCTTACAGGGGGATTGAGTGGGCAGGTGGCGGGGCTTTCCGGGAAGAGGAAGAGACATATGCAGGGATCCATGACTGGAAAATACATGGTGTGACTGGGGAGGCAAAACGTAGCCTAGTCTGACTGTCCATTTGTTGTATATACCAGTTTGGAACTGAGTGCGACGTAAGACCATGGACCACATCCCGGGGGGAGGTGTTATTAGAAGTACCAGACAGGACCTTATTTCACATTTAGCATGGACCCCCGATGATTCCATTTGAGTGAGGTGTGGGTGTATTTTCATTCCAGAATTTTACGCTACAACATTACCACATGCATTGACCAATTTTAATACAGGCTTTCCTTATGTTGCTTTATAATTAGAAGCCAGTGAATTGAAGTTCCACAGCGGTACATAGACTAGTAGTGATAGCTTTATGGAATTGTTTATTTTTAGTTTGGCAAAGAGTAAGCAGTAAATATCTCAATTAGTAAACTAAAGCAGCATGGATGAGAAATGCCCACAAGGAGATCAGGAGTTAGAAATAACTAAGTCAGTTAATTGAAGGAAACCCTCATATCACTTACCCCATATTTAGAGTTTGAAGAACCATCCTAATATGTGTGTGTGTGCGTGTGTGTGTGCGGGGGGGGGGGCATGTACATGCACACACACACTGTCAGTGTCCACAGTGCTGCCAGCATTGAAGTCCTTTGCATTCCCCAGATTCTAATTGTTTAGGAAGTTTCTCTCTTTGGAGCCACTGTGCTGGGTTATTGACCCAGTGGGATAGGTCAGTGTCCTATCACAGTGCGATGGGCTGTTGTCTGACTACAGAAGCTTTTCATCCTGCAGTTTCTTTCACTGTGACCCACGAGGGATTTTCTTATGAAGTGCTGGGGGAAGTTATTCATATTCATATTCGTATTTATATTCACATTATATGGCCTGATGTGTGAAGATATTTAGTGAAAACATGCATGTGGCACTGCAGAATCATTTACTCGCCTCTAGATAGAGGCTCCTGCATTATGTTTAAGATTCCATTTTAAGTTTCGAGTGAAAACAGAAGTGGTCTACAAAGCTTAGTTTTAAGAATTTAAGTTTTGTTTAAGGATCGAATCATGCTGTTCCTAGAGTTCCAGTATCTCTAGGAAATATTGACCACTCAGAAGATGAAAGATTCATTGGTAGTGTAAAATATTAAGAATGTTAGAGAAAAAAGGTTTGTGTTTTAAAGTTACAAAATACCATTATTTAGTTGTTATGATTTTTTGACACTGCATACTTTAGTCCATTTGCATTCATGGCACGTATTTAACATTGTATGGAAAGTTGTTTGGATTTTCCCTCTAAAGTGGGGGAGGGTCAATAGAAAGGTCATTGTCTTCCTAGGCTTAACAATTTACTACGTATCAGCTCTCTCTGGTCTATAGGGGACATGGTGGGGGTTTGTGCATCTGCAGATTAAATTTCTGTATGTCTCCTCTCTGTTTTGCAGACAGGAAAAAGATAGCATTCAGCAGAGCTTTAGCAAGGAAGCAAAGGCCCAAGCCCTTCAGGCCCAGCAAAGAGAGCAGGAGCTGACACAGAAGATACAGCAAATGGAGGCCCAGCATGACAAAACTGGTAGGTGGTAGGGAAAGATTAGAGCCTGGGCACTCGCTCACAAGCCAGGCCCACGCCTTACTGTGAAATGACATCAGGAACACCTGTAACCTTTGGCTGGCCGAAGGGAGCAGATGCTAACTACACCGGAGATTCCGAATTACATATTAGTTAGCGTTTAAAAGAGAAAATGGAAAGTATTGCCCACTGTCTGTTGATTTCAGAGTGCTGCTCTCACATCTGTTGCACCATCTGGATTATGAGTTTATTTACCTGTGTTCAAGAAACGTAAAGCTGAGAGAGACCACAACAAAGTAGAAAAACAAAGGGCTTGTTTTTGGCTGGGTTTTCAGGCACACATGTTATATAAAGAAAATAGCATCAGAAGCTCTGCGGGAAATGCTCTGAGCTTACAGTTAGAGTCTCCTGAATAGCATTGAACAGTTCCCACAGTACACACATTATAGCTACTCTAAAAGCCTAATGAGTTTGCTTCAGCATCCAAACTGGAGAAAAGCTTTAGCCATTAATCGGTTCTTAATTCACTGTCGCAGCTGGATGTAATTCAGTGGCTCCAAATTGATATGTTCCTTTATTTAATCTTTGCAGCTTCGAACATTTTTAGCATTTGTATGATTTCCCCACCTCCCCCAACCCAATCTAGAGTGATGTTTAATCCTTTGCATTCTTCAAGTTCTCACAACTGCTGTTAAAATTCACTAATACAAGGCATTGACCACAGCTGGCAGCTTGGCTAAAAATTGCCATCTTTCATCACATTGGCACTATTCTGCAGACTGAGTTGGCCAGTAACTCTTTACCTTTAATTTGAAAGTAAAATGCACTTTGAAAATAGACAGTTTGATTTGTTCAGTCAGAGCATTATGTAGTTTCTTTCACTTTTGAGTTGTGTGTTCACAGACAGTGTTAGTCAAAACAAGACAGTGTCAGTCATTATAATTCCACACCACATACTCCACACTGATTGTACTATTAAAACAAAAGTTTAATTGATCCTGTCTCTTCCAGAAAAATGTTGCTTAATTTTAGTGCCTTGATTTATTTTGATTTGTATGCTGTATGCTTTTGGCCAATCATTGGCTAAAATTGAAAAGAAATAAAGGACTCTTAAAACTTATGCTTAGAGGTAATTTTCATATGATTTAATGTATTAATATATATTGTATTTGATGGTACGGTAAAAATTATTTCTTATCCTATGGGTGAAAAATTGCTAACATGCAAGCCATTAAATAATCTATTTACTTATGAAGAGGCAAATGTCATATTGACTCACATAATTCCCTCTAGCACTTTCAGTAGAGATTTTCTTCTAACAGCATTTGGCCAGAAGAAACAAAAATTCACCAGGTTTAGTAGATGTTTCTCCACTAAAAACAGAAAGAGGAAATTGGAGGATAAATTATTGTTTGCTCCCACTGCTAGCATGATCCTAGTGATCAGAGTCTTGGGCAGAATCTGAGCACTAGATTAGAGTGTATTTAACTGTTAAAACCACCTTAAGAACATTTCCTTTTGTACACACACACAAAATCACACCGTTTTCAATTTCTTTGACCAGATCTCCACTGAAGCTCATGCTGTTGACAATGAAATTGAAATTCTAAAGAAAATACACATTTTTACCTTCATAATTAGAGAAGTGTATGCAAGATTGGGGGGAGGGGTGGTAGTAAACCATGTGTGCAAATATGAAACAAAGCATGAATTACAGTGTAGAAGAGAATTCCTCGATGATTTTAGTTTTGAATTATCTGGTTGTGAGAATTTTTGACACTGTTTATAGTAAAATTGTCAAAATTAAAATATAATATCTTGCATATTACAAAGATATAAGTGTCTATGCTTCCACTTGAGGTATTTGACACTTTATTAACATGTCAAAATGTTACACCAAGCTGGTCTGATAAAAAATGTTTCTGGTGTATACTTATGTTGAAAATAAACGACTCCCAAGATTGAGTGTCTTTCCAGATGATAAGTCCTTTGACTTAGGACATTGAAGGTGATCTAGTGGCTTATTGGAAATGTGTAGGGGTCTAAACACTTTACCACTCTATGTATGGAAGCACTGCAGATCGACAACCATAAACATCTTACGTTGGTGGGGGTTTATTGTTATTTCTAGAAAATGAGCAGTATTTGTTGCTGACCTCCCAGAATACATTTTTGACAAAGTTAAAGGAAGAATGCTGTACATTAGCCAAGAAACTGGAACAAATCTCTCAAAAAACCAGGTAGGTGATGTTATAGAATACTTTCAAGAGCACTGTTTGTGTGATTACTCTAATTTTTCCTTAAAAAACAGCATTTACACTGTTTTATAATGTCAAAATTAAGTATCTGCTGATGTTTTCTTTGAAAATATTTTCTACATATGGACATTTTCTTAATTGTCCATACACTTTTATGTTTTTTCATGATGATGTGTGTACTATTATTTGACATTTTAATGTTCAGAATTGAAAACTGAAATTTCAGGAAAGAAAATATGGTAATAACATAAAGATGCAGATAAATCAAGCAGTTATAAAATCTTACATTGGTATGGTTAACACATTTTAATCTATTGTTACAATTCACCATGAACACAAAAGCTATCTTTAGGTTAAATGATAACAGATGAAATGTGTATATATAAAAATGAAGTAGATGGTACTTTGAAATAAACACACCAAAACTATTCTTCTCTTCCCTAAAATTGTTATATTTTAATAGAACAGCCATCATTCATTTTATAGGCATACTACTCTTTTATAAATCCATTGATTGGAATCTTAATGACTTTTTTCTACACACTTTCTAGTCAGATTATCTCAATGAATGAATTATTTTATATTCTAAACTGCAAGAAGCCTGACTCCTCATCTCAGCTCCGACAGTAACTGAATCATCTTGGACAAATGTATTTGACGTACTTGGACTATAGTTTCTTCTTTTGTCAATGAATGACATTGGACAGAATCACTTGAAATTGAACTATAGAAGGCAATATTCACATAACTGATACGATGTCACATATTACTTTGTATGATAATGAAAAAATAGCCTGTGTGTCTTCTCTTCTGGATTTTTCTGAAACTTACGTAGATCTATTGAGAGCAGGAAATATGTCTCAGCAAACAAACTGCTCACCTAGATGTTTCATTCGGAAAGGATTTCCGGGAGGATCAGGGCATATCTGATCACTCTGAGCTCCATCTTGGGATCCTGCATCAACAATCTGTCTTAGCTGATAGAACCCCCATCCCTGAATCTTTTGGGGAATCAGAGGGCTCGTGCATCCAACTCTCCCTGCTCACAGGAAGGCAGAGGCTCCTGTAACCACCAAGAATGTACTCTGACATGCGCACCTTCCTGGCATATACTAAGATTGTATTTTGGTAGGGGAAAACCTAGGTGCCAAAATACCGGATATTTCAAGGAGCTTTGACCATGAAAACTAAATGATTTGGTCATGAAAGAGACCCATAAAATATCTACAGTAGCTATTCTTAACCAGAAATACTTGATTTGCACCACATAGGTCCAAAAGTAATTTATTAGAAGCAAACAAACCAGATTATATCATTTAGGGATAAAATGATACTAATCTGGGTTTTATATAAATGTGTTAGGTCTAAAATTGGTTTGTGAATGATGACTGATCTTGCTCTCCAAGGAAACATAATTAGGGAAATTTATTATATAAAAGAGACAAAAAGGTGCTTGGTATATATTATTTAATTCTCACCACAACTTGAGACAGAAATTATTATCTTCCAGATAAGGAAACCAAAACTGTTTAAATAACTGGTGAGTGGGAGAGCTAGGGTTCTAACCTAGATATTTCTGGTTCCAAAGTATATGTTCTTTCTTACAGTGATTATAATATTTTACATTTATTGCTAAAGAAAATTCAAGTCATAGTAGTTATGATGAGAAAGTTTGGGAAGGAAAAATTAACCTTTAAATTTCCGTAGAGAAGTAAGCGTCCTTGGCATGTAACAGTTAACTTACTCTTTGCCCCTAGGCCCTCTTTTTCCTCCTCTAGATCTGTCATCTTGGCCTGTACTGGTCTAACTCAGCACCTCTACTGCTTCTCCTGCTTCTCATTCCTCCAGCTCCTGAACACTGCTTTGTAAATTGGATGTATTCTTTTGTATCTGACACATAGATAGCACTTAATGAATAAATGATGAATGAATGAAACAAATAGGTGTGGTGCTATTCGCACCTCCTGATCTGACTTTTGATGCCAGTCTGTTCCATTGTGGATGACTGGCAGTGTGCAGTAAAGAACACGTGGCAATTCAGAGGAACTAGGTTTGAATCTCACTCTCCCACTTGGAGCTTTGTAACCTTGGGTACATGGCCTCATCTCCCCAAACCCCAGCTTCTCCTTCTGTAAAAACATTTCCAAAGCCATGCTGCAGGATTGTTATGGGAATTGGAATTATATATGTAGATACACGTACATACACGTTATCAAGTGCCTAGCACAATGCCTGACACGTTGTAATACACACTAGCTGCGGTTGTTTTCACAATAGCATTTTTAAGGGTCTTGACTGAAATTTGGGTATCACTTTACATAGCTATTGTCTTTGCCATGGAAAGTCTGACTGTCATTTGCTGATGGACATAAGTCTATGCCACAATGAAAGCCTTTTTAAAACAGTCATGGATCTAGTTGTATTTTGTAACTCTGATGAATTAAAACAGGCACCTACTCTAACTTTACAATTTGTCTCAACCAAGGCCTGGCAAGTAGTAAACACTTGATAAATTGTTACTTACTAGTTTTAAAACTCTTAAGCACCCCTAAAACTTACGAAAAGTGCATTTTGTGCACCTCACAAGAGAGTAGTGAATAGGACAAATTGTGATTTTAGGGTTGGTTGTTCTTAATTTCTTTTAGTTCCGGTTTCGTTTCTCCCTGGCTTCCTACTATGACATTTTCAATTAACTCATTCATGTTAAATTTAACATTCCATGTTGATGTTACCTTCTGCTTTGAAACCACCTACAAAACTTGAAGGGCTCAAACTGCTTCTTTTAAAATACAAGTTATTAATGTAGTAAACCCTGAAGAAGCCCTCCAGGAGTGTCCTCTGCATACCTCATGCCAGACTATTGGGATAGATAATTTTCCCTGTGCTTTGAGGTAAGGAAAATCTTGGAGTTTCCAAAGTTTTGTCATTGTGGAAACTCAGTCTCCAACTTTATATTTATCCAATCTGTATGGTAATTTTGGTCCAGCTTTTCCTCAGAGTATTACAGTAAAATTTTTCTTGAAAGTAAGTGTATTTATTTTGTATTGAACAATAATTAAGACATATTTTTCCCTCCTCTGTTACTAGCAACATTACTCTAAGAGTCTTATGTTATTCAAAATACCAACTAAACAAATGGATTCCTACCATTTAAAACAAGATTTTAAACAGGTCTAGTCATTTGACTGGAGCCCATGCAGAATGACGGGAAAGCTGACCGCGCGGGCTCGGTGGGCACGTACACCCTTGCTCTGCCCCAGCCTCATGCTAGGCTGCTCCGCTGCTCTGTGAAAATGTTTTGAAATGGTACCTCCGTGTGTGGGTCTGTTGTATGTGTTTTCTCCCCAAGTAGACCGTAAGTCGCATTATGGCAGTGATGACTGCTTCTGTTTTCTGGAAGCCTCCATAGTGATTAGCACAGTAGTTTGCGCCCTGAGTGTACTCCACACTGCATGTAGTGGTGTCTGTAACCCTGGCATTTGTGAATGGCACGCCCCATTTTAAACTTAAAGTGAACTGCCGATTCTGTGCATTTTATATAGCTTGTTTTTGACCATCAGGCAAGAGAATTAATTCCATTTTGCTTTTAATTGGCACCAGGCAGACATTCTGGCTGATTTTAGTTGAAGCTCACATAAACTTTCGCTCTCCTTCCTTCTGTATTCCCCAGTACTCTGAGAGCTTATTACAGTTATGGGGTTGTTTTTTGAGGGAGGTACACGGAGCTATTTAAATAGCTTTGGTACAACTGTGATTTTTCTTTATCAAAGTGAAGGAAGCGTTCTCTCTCCCCACGCACTTAGATGAATCAGCAGTGAAACATTGCAGTGCGGTTTGCAGTGCTATCTAACACCTGGCCTGGGAGAGCTTGGAAGGAGTGGGTGCTGGCAAGGAGTGAGCCTCTGCCAGCCACCGAGTGGAGAGAAGTGTGTGCTAGGGTTTAGCTTCCACCACTTGCACATTGAAAAGAACCGGATAGAGCGTAGAACCAGGGTCTATGTGGATTTGCTGCTTTCTTTTCTGTCATTGTCACTTTCTGGGTTGTCAGGCTTGTGGACTGATGTCTAACACTGCCCATTGTGTATTTGTGATTTGCGTTTTGTAATTAAGAGGAACAATGGGAGTCCATGGGGTCTCGTTATATATAATGGTTGGTTTAATTTGTTTCACTTCTATCTTGTTAATTGTAAATTGATCATTAAGATTTGAATTCTAATCTGTCACCAGGGTTGTGAGTATTGAGGCTAGAGCAATGATCCTGGTTTTAATCACTGATGATGAGAAACAAATTTTATAATTTTGGTACATATTGCAGTTCATATATTTTAACACTATACTTTATGGTGTTATAAATATTGTTAAATGACTTTTAGTGTAGTTTTACTGTGTGGACTATAATGTATAAATTATATTACTGTTTTGGCAACAGTAGGTATCCAACTGTGTGAGTTTAATTGAGGTGAAGAACACACACCCGGTTGAACTGTTTTTTTCCTTTACATGTTTACATGATGTTAGGTTGGGATACTATAAAAATTATATTTTCTACAAGAGGAGACTGATATTGGCCTCTGCTAATTGTTACCAAAAGTCAAACTAGAACCTAAAAGGATAAAAAATTAGGATATTATATTTCCCTTTGAAAGCAGTTATCATTTTAATCTGAAATGTAGTAGTAAAATATATTTCATGCAAATGCAATTATACAATATAACTGATATAAAAATACAGGGGAAAGTTCATGCTTCTGCAAAGCCAGAAATTGCCTAAATTTTCTGTGAAAATGAATTAGAGTCAATTATCCTTTTATACGACACAGGATAATCGTGCCAGAAATGTGTCTCCAAACTAACAGAAAACTTGTAAGTTTGCTCTTTGAGCTTTGCAGACTACTGTTCTAGGAATATATCGTGAACTCCAGACAGAAAAAGGATGACGTGCAGGCATATATGTCAAATTTTTATTGAGAAATGGAAGTTGGTAGGCAAATTACAATTATAAATAAAGAAAAAAACAAAAATATGCGAAGCAGAAGAAAAGGTGGTTGCAATAACACACTTGATAGTGATATGTACTTTATAAATAACATTTGTATTTTTGTGGTTATGTAAGACATCCTCAATGCAGGGAATTTGGAAAATACAAAGAAGAATTAAGGAAAATTTCCTGCCACTACCATCCAGAGATAACTCTTCTTACCTCTGACATATTTCCCTTCAGTCATTTTTCGTGTGTATGTATGTGTACATTTATATTGTAATTGAGATTACACTGTATATACAGTTTTGCATCTGCTTTTTCATTTGATATCTAATGAACATTTTTCTATATCAGTAAATACTCTGAAAACAAAACTTTATTAAATGATTTGCATGGATAAGAATTATTAGGCTCTTAAGTTGCTTCTAATTTTTAACCATTATGACTAATAATACAACAAAAACTTTGTACCTAAGTCTAAATTTTTGATTGTTTCCTTAATTGCTAGTCCAAGACTATGAATCCTTTTAAGGGTATTAATGTGTTTTACCTTGCTTAAGTACTACACTAACTTCTAATCACTGTATATGTAGCCATATTAGTAAATAACATTACAAAGAAGTGAGATTTTTTTAAAAAGAATGAGAAGCAATATTGCACAGTGGGTGGAACGACCCCTTTAGAGGTGGACTAAGTAGTATTTGTATCTGGGCTTGCCTACTTGGATGACCTTAGGCAAGTCATTAAACTTCATATTTAACCTCACAGAGAAAAGAAAATAAACCCTTACAAGTACCTTATCGGATTAATTGAGATCATGAATGTAAAGGATGGATTTCACTATTTGTTATACAGTGGCATGCAGTAAATATTTGGTGGTAGTATCTGGTTTTGTTGTGCTATATTTTGAATAATAGTGAAATTGAATATGTTGTAAATATTGTTGATCATTTATGTTTCTTCTGTAGATATTTTAAATATTTCTTATACTTTTAATTGGAATTTTGATGGAGAGTGCAGTTAGTGTTTCATTAAATGATGCTTTTAATGTTTGTCTTATTTTTGTAAATAATTTCCTGTTGTTTACATTGATTTTAATTAATAAGCTTTATATTTTAGAGCAGTTTTAGGTTCATAGCAAAACTGGACAGAAAGTACAGAATTCCCATATATTCCCTGTTCCTTCTACACACAACCTCCCCCACCAGTGACATCTACATTTTGTTTTATTATGATTTTGTTTCAAAATCAGAATGAATTTATTTTTAAAAAATAAAACACATATCTATTTTACAAATTTAGAAAGATGAATAAAGAACAGAGAAAACATTCCTGATCCTACTATCCAGAAATAATCAGTATTAATAGTTGGTATACATGTCAAAATATTTTTCTAAATTATAAAATGAAATCACATCATACATGCTGACTTTTAATGTTTTCTCTTTTTTATAAATATGTCACAGTTTTAGATCAATAAATATCACTTATAAATAGCCACATTATCAGATTAATAAGTAACATAACCAGGCTCCTGTGGATAGATTTCTTGGTTAAGTTTCCAGATTATGGGTTGCAAAGAAAGGTTGTTTCTAGAAGCAGTGCTACAATGAATACTCTCACACAACCCTAGGATATATTTTAAATATATGATTTTTTTATGTGTAAAAGTTTTGTATTTTTGTATTGTAAAATCTATTTTTTTCTTTGTGATTTTTTAAAAAGTGCCTTTTGCTTGGAAAGTGCCTGAGAAAAGATCAGTGTTCTGCATTTTTTTCTAATCTGGTTTAAGGATTTTTTTTTTCTTCTTTTGGAATTTATTTTAGTGCATGGTATGATAGGAGATACTAATCTTGGAAGGGATACCAGATCAAAAATTTATTATAACTGCCTCTAAATTCTTTTGTATTGTATGTGATTCTGAAAGGAGAAACATGTCATTATTAACTCCTTTTGGACTATTTCAAATATGGGTAGATTCTTATTAAGAGAAGCAAATGTAGATTGAACACTTGATCTGAACTTGAAAATGAGATAATCCATGCTCTTATACAGAATCTGGTAGGAAAGACAAGGCACAGAGCACAATTTAAAAGAATAAATTATAAGCTAATGTATGCATAAAGGCTAGAGGTAGCTTCAAAAAACATGCTGACATATTGAGAACTGCAAGGTATTAATCAGGGCAAGCTTCCCGTGGGATGACATTTGAACCAAGATGAAAACAAAATGAAGAATGAGGTGAACTAAAAGCAGGAGTTTTTGCCCCATACACGTGAGCAGCCTGGTCCTTGGGATTAACAATTTGTAAAGTAAAATTTCCCTTAGCAAATCCAAATCCTTTCCTGACCAGGAAGAAAAGGCTATCTTGCCTACTGGAAGAATCCTTTCTTTGAAGGGAATTAATTTTATGTCAGGAGTCTTCAGGAAACAAACCAATTATTAACCTGAAAACGACTCATAATGTACAAGAGTTTTAAACTCTCCGTTCTAACTGATTAGGCATTAGGGCGTGAGGAGATGGTGGCAGTAGGCAGAAATTTAGAGTTTACTTAATACAAGGAAAGGAATATAATTTTTCTTGGATAAACATCTTTCTGATCTTCAAATTTTGAGACTTGGATTGTCATTTAAGACACAAACAACAGGATACTGCCATTTTGCTCAGGGGAGGTCAATCTTTTTTCTATTAAGACCTTCAGTGGATTGGAGGAAGCCCGCCGAGGTGGAGGACAATCCGCTTTTCTCAAAGTCTACTAATTTAAATGTTAATATCATCTAAAAAACACCCTCACAGAAATGTCCAGAATAATGTCTGGTCAAATGTCTGGGCACCATGGCCCAACTAAGTTGACACATAAAATTAACCATTAAAGAACTATTTTTATTTTAACCGTGTGCCATTCAGCTGGTTATGTTAATTAAAAGAAACTCTGTGATAGAAATTAGGCCTAGGGTTTCTTCTTTGACAGCATAGTGTTTGGCCTATAACAAGCACTCAGTAAGTATTTGTTAATTGAATGATAGTCTTTTAAAAAAGAGATTTGATCATTATCATTTTTGTCTTGTTCCTTAGGGAAGCCATTTCTATTAGAATAAGTTGTTATTCCTTTTTCTGTGTAACACGTGAGTCTCTACAATGTATCTTGCCATTTCTGAAATATTTTCTTTTGCAAAGGATATAGTTTTCATTATACTATTATGTTTAAGTACGGAGTTTAAGATAATGTTAAGGTTATATACTAACAATATGCCCTAGTAATAAGAACCTTTAACATCTATTATTTTTGTGTTTTCACCTCTCTAGATCTGAAATAGCTCAACTCAGTCAAGAAAAAAGGTATACATATGATAAATTGGGAAAGTTACAGAGAAGAAATGAAGAATTGGAGGAACAGTGTGTCCAGCATGGGAGAGTACATGAGATAATGAAGCAAAGGTAATCAAGGTTTCATGATCAACTCACGTGTCATGTATTGAATGTGTTTGGTTTACACGCAGTAGGGGAATTGCTGCGGAATAAGTAGAATTCATCATCATTATGCCACTCCGGACATGCTCAAAATGTAATACTTTTATCTTATGTATTTATGCTTCCTTAATTTACATTGTTCTTATTATATACAAAGAGGAGAGTACATCCTCTTTTTGTTAGTCTCTGAAGACATAGAATTAGATTTGACATGGAAGAATGGAGGAAAGCCATTTTCCTTTAAGACGTAAGTTGGTAATATTGCAGTATGGAGGAATTTCAAATCACCTCTCCTAGAAATTAGGTTTTATATGCTTTTTGTGAGGTAAAGCAGATAGTAGGTCTAAAGAGTTTAAACATCTTATCAGAGGTTGCACTAATAGCATTGCTAGAGTCAGAACTTGGCTACAAACAAAACCTTTGCTTCTTTCTAGTGGCGTTACTTTGAGCAAGTCACTGAAGTTCTCTGAGTGACTGTTTCTTCACCTATATATTGGCACTAATCATATCTACTTTGCATTTTGATAGAAAGATCGTATATAATATAGTAAAGCACATGGCTCATACAGGCCACCCACTAAATGTCATCAATGATTATTCTCTTTTTCTTGATGAAGAAATTCAGCTCAGAGAGGCTAATAGGTTTGCTCAAAGTGACAGATGGAATAAGTGGTAGAGTTCAGACTTGAATCTTGATCTTTTGACTCCAAATCCTTTTCTTTTTGTGCAGTACTGGGGATTTTTTTTTTTTTTTTTTTTTTTTTGGCAATAAGTACAGCCTCTTATTATTTTTATCCATGTGCCATTTCTCATTTCTGTGTGATAATGGATTCCCTGGGGAGAAAATAATCTCAGTATTTCACAGCAGACAGTGAATAGGTTTCTGTGGACTTGGACTTCCACGTGACAACCGCATGCCCAATGATAGCAGTCACCCTTCCAGGGGACACAGTTCGCATGGCCTCCAGCTCTGTATCCCCACACCAGTTCCCAGTCATCCCTGCCTTCTCTGTTTCAAAAACAGTTCTTGATATAATTGAAGGAAATGAAAATATTTATAGACTCCTTGTATTTTTTAAGTGTAAAGTAACATATTAGCCTGGGGAGGGGGGAGATATTTTTATGTTGATTACTTGCTTTATTGAATGGAAGACAGGCAGTCAGATAATGGCACTGCCTGTCAGTCATCAAAATACCAAAATATGCATATATTTGCAAAGTAACAATTATTCATTCACTATTAAAATATTTACTTAAGCCCAGGCACTTCTGTAGGCCAGGGGTCTGCAAACGTTTTCTGTAAAGGGCCAGAGAGTAAATATTTTGGACTTTGCAGGCCACACATGGTCTCTGTGGCATAGTCTTCCTTGTTTTGTGTTTTTTACAACCCTTTGAAAAAGTGAAGACCATTCTTAGCCAGAGGACCAACAAAATGAGCCAGCGGATTTGGCCATTGGGCCAGCCTTTGCCCCAGTCCTGTGCACCTGGGGCAGCTTTCCATTTATTTTCTTACATTTGTGTATTGCTTTAGAGTTCTCAAAATGCTCTCACACTTGTTACCTTATGTACCTTGAAGCAGCCTTGAAAGTAGCTGTATTTATCATCTCCATTTCCAGATGGAGAACTAAGCCTAAGAAAGACAAACGTGCCGAATGAAGGTCAGGTAGCAAATTATGATTCATTCATTCAACATTGATTGATTGATTGAGTGAGTGATTGAATGATTGCTACTATGTGTCACATTTTCTACCACATGCTGGAATAAAATAGCAAAGTAGATATAGTTCCCACTCTAATGGAGCTTACATCCTTATAGGGAAGATGGATGTTAGCAAAAGAATTTCACAACTGTCTAATTAATTATAGTTGACCCTTAAACAACACAGATGTGAACTGTCTGGGCCCACTTATACACAGATTCTTTTCAATAAATTTATTGGAAAATTTTTTGGAGATTTGCAACAATTTGAAAAAACCTGCAGATAAACCAGGTAGCCTAGAAATAATGAAAAGAAGTTTTAAATTTAGGTGTGTCATGAACACATAAAATATCTGTAGATGCTGGTCTTTATCATTTACTACCATGAAATATATGCAACTCTATTATAAAAAGTTAAAATTTATCAAAACTTACACACACAAACACAGATCATACATGGTACCATTTGCAATTGAGAGAAATGTAAAATGTAAAGATACAGTATTAAATCATAACTGCATGAAATTAACTGTAGTACACACTGTACTACTGTGATAATTTTGTAACCACCTCCTGTTGCTATTGCGAGGCGCTCAAGTATTGTAGTATCCACTGAAAACCCTGTGTGTACTAAATCATCTGCATGTGAACAGTTTCTCTCTCCACTAAATTGCTTATTGCAGTAACAAGTGATCTATTGCAGTTCTTGTGCATTTTTCATCATGTTTACTGCAATACCATAAACCTTGAATAACACTGTGGGACCCATATGAAATGCGGCTACTGATGTTGGAAGTACTTTCAAGAAGCAGAGAAAAGTCATGACATTACAAGCAAAAGTTGCACTGCTTGATGTGTAGCTTAGATTGAAGTTTGCAGCTGCAGCTGCCGTCATTTCAGATGATTCATCTTGTAAACAGACAGTATAAACTTATCGCATCAATATATAACAGTACAGTACTGTAAAGGTATTTTCTCATGATTTTCTTAATATTTTCTCTAGCTTACTTTATTGTAAGAATATAGTATATAATACATATACAAATATGTGTTAATCAACCGTTTATGTTATCAGTAAAGCTTCTGGTCAACAGTAGGCTATTGGTAGTTGAATTTGAGAGGAGTCAAAAGTTATGCATGGATTTTTGACTATACAGGGGGTTGACGCTTCTAACCCCCATGTTGCTCAAGGGCCAACTGTACAATCATGACCAGTTCTATGAAGGAGAAATACATTTGGTGGTACAAGTACATTTAATAACGGGACTTGTTTTTTAAAAAACTATTTGTAAGAGAATATCTCACTCTGTTGCCCAGGCTGAAGTGTAACCTTGAACTCCTGGGCTCAAGTGATCCTCCCTCCTCAGCCTCCCAAGTAGGTAGGGCTACAGGTACATACCACCATGCCTTGCTAATTTTTTTTTTTTTTTTGGATACAGAATCTTACTCTGTCACCCAGGCTGGAGTGCAGTGGCGCAATCTTTTGGCTCACTGCAACCTCCATCTCCTGGGTTCAAGCGATTCTCCTGCTTCAGCCTCTCAAGTAGCTGGGACTACAGGCATGCGCCACCATGCCCAGCTAATTTTTGTATTTTTAGTAGAGACAGGGTTTCACCATGTTGGCCAGGATGGTCTCGATCTCTTGACCTTATGATCCAGCTGCCTTGGCCTCCCACAGTGCTGGGATTACAGGCATGAGCCACTGTGCCTGGCCCTTTTTTTGTTTTTGTTTTTGAGACAGAGTCTCACTGTGTCATCCAGGCTGGAGTGCAGTGGCACGATCTCAGCTCACTGCTACCTCCGCCTCTGAGGTTCAAGCGAGTCTCCTGCCTCAGCCTCCAGAGTAGCTGGGATTACAGGCACCTGCCACCACACCTAACTAGTTTTTGTATTTTTCAGCAGAGACAGGGTTTCACCATGTTAGCCAGGCTCGTCTCGAACTCCTGACGTCAGGTGATACCCTTACCTCGGCCTTCTCTGGGATTACAGGCATGAACCACCATGCCTGGCCTAATTTTTTAAACTTTTTGTAGATACTAGGTCTTGCTATGTTGTCCAGTCTGGTCTTGAACTCCTCACCTCAAACCATCCTCCCACCTCAGCCTTCCAAATCTCTGGGATTACAGGTGTGAGCCACTGTCCCCAGCAGGGCACTTAACATTGATTAAGAAAAGCTTCAATGGAACATGACATTTGAATCGGTAAGCAGTGGGGTTAGATGATTAGCCTTTTAGATCAGGAATTGGCAAACTATCTTGCTGTCTCCTAAAAAATTTTACTGACTCCTGTTCTAGAGAAGGAAAATCTATAAAATGGAAGTTTCTAAGATAAGAAAGCATAGTACTTGAGGAACACCAAGAACTGTGTGTCTAACATAAAGGGAAAAAGAAAGTGTGGCATACAATGAGGTTGGAGAGGTAGGCAAGGGCTGGACCTAAAGGCAGGGTCTTTATTTTTTTATGTATTTTTTATTTTTATTATTATTACTATTTTTTTTTTTTTTTTTTTTTTTTTTTGAGATGGAGTCTTGCCCTGTCACCCAGGCTGGAGAGCAGTGGCAAGATCTCGGCTCACTGCAAGCTCCGCCTCCTGGGTTCACGCCATTCTCCTGCCTCAGCCTCCCGAGTAGCTGGGACAACAGGTGCCCACCACCATGCCCGGCTAATTTTTTGTATTTTTAGTAGAGATGGGGTTTCACCATGTTGACCAGGATGGTCTGGATCTCCTGACCTCGTGATCCGCCCGCCTTGGCCTCCCAAAGTGCTGGGATTACAGGCGTGAGCCACGGTGCCCGGCCAGTCTTTATGTTTTTATCATGGACCTTTTATTTTGTCTTGTTACTAATGGGAAGAAAATGAGGCCAAGGTGGGTGGATCACGAGGTCAGGAGTTTGAGACCAGCCTGGCCAACATGGTGAAACCCCGTCTCTACTAAAAATACAAAAAGTAGGCCGGGTGCGGTGGCTCAAGCCTGTAATCTCAGCACTTTGGGAGGCTGAGACGGGCGGATCACTAGGTCAGGAGATCGAGACCATCCTGGCTAACACGGTGAAACTCCGTCTCTACTAAAAAATACAAAAAACTAGCCTGGCGAGGTGGCGGGCGCCTGTAGTCCCAGCTACTCGGGAGGCTGAGGCAGGAGAATGGCATGAACCCAGGCTGGAGTGCAGTGGTGCAATCTTGGCTCACTGCAAGCTCCGCCTCCCGGGTTCATGCC